TTAATAATATGCAATTCAGCATTGAATGTAAGTTACATATGCCCTATATTTACCTTGTTTATTTATATGTAGTGCCACCAAAAGATTAGAAAGCAAAGTAAAGCGTGAAAAAGAGAAAAGAAACGAAAACATGAAAGACATCGAGATTAAGCATATTCTATCATAATGCTTATCAGTCATGCGACTATCATTTAAGCAATTCCCTCTCTCTTCGCATATTCGGCGCGAGACCAATTAGTTAGTACATACCTACATACATATATGCGCAAGAGCTAAGAAATTCGTTTTGTTTTGCTTTTTGCTCTTCTATCAGTAACTGTAATGTAGTTTACAATGTCGTGCATATAAATAGCACTTAGTATTAACGTTCAATGGAAAAGCTTGGAAATAATTATGTTGAAGTAAAGAACAATTAAGAATGGAGTGAAACGTGTGATCGGTTTTCCTAGATGGGTATAAGAGGGTAATTAAAGTGTTGTAACCGCTTTGGGATCTTTCTATAATCGTTGCCAGCGGAAGATCATAGGTAGGGTGGGTATAGAGGCAAGAGCGTTACCATAACACCTAGGTAATTGCAAGCGGTATGGTCCGAGTCACTGTGTAATTCTTTCTTCGCCCCTTTTATTTATTGTCGTGCTGCTTGTAAAGTCAGATGGGCTTTACGGGACTCTTGATAATATGTGCTGTAGGTGTGTTGAGTGGAGGTGTCAAGAACCCCCCCAGGCTGATACGCTAGCTGATGCCAGAGAGTCCCCCCGACCACTCCACCCAGCAATCAAGCCGCCTACATTCGCTCCGCTGATCGGGTGCAACTCCGTTTTGTCAATTGTGTTGCCAAGTCACCAGGTATCCGGGGATAAACAAACCGCGTTGTGTCGAGTCAGAGGGACCCTTTTACATGAGAAGTGCAATTGGGGGTGATCTTTTTTGAGAAACGAAGATCACGCGAACCAGCAATACATTTGCCTAAGGTCTCTACGGAGGGAAATAGAATTCCAATCGTTCTGTATCAGGCAAACGAGAGTCTGGTCATTACAACCCGTACCCATTCTCCTCGTCATTGACTCACTCTCTCTCTCTCTTCATTTTCGTCCTCCTTTGACTGTTTCATTTTTGACGGCGCCAACGCGGCGTATGAGCAATTTCCCATTTTCCAGTTTTTGTTTTTCAGGCTCGCAAACGAAGAAGTACAAATGGATGTGGCAAGGAATGGGAGTTGGAATTGGAATTGGGCATTGGACAGGGGGGCAAGTGGCAAAGCCTGCCTCGCAGAAGTGGCTAATGGTTTGGGGAATGGGAATAGAAACTGAAGTACGAGTGGCTTATGTAAGCAGCACTGGAGTTGTTCAGTTCAGTACTGTTTCGGTTCTTGGCTTAAATATTAATTAGCTGGGCCCGCAGATGCACTGCTCCTCGTCCTACGTCCTTCTCCTCCTTTAAGCTTTTAGGCAGTCGCCGCCTTCTTCTCCTCCTTCTCCTCCTCCTGCTACCCTGCTGCCCTTCTGCCTTCTGCCTGCCCGCTGCCTGCTTCCTCCTGCTGCTGCTGCTGCAAGCTCTTTAGGCCTCTCCGCTACTCTTTCTACTCTCCGGCTCGAGGCTGCAGCTTGGAGTGGATTGGAGTGGCGCCCCAAAGGCAAAGTATGTTGTCTGTGTCTCTGTGTATCTGTGACTGTAACTGTAGCTGCGACTGTATCTGTGTCCGTTTACCGTTTGCCAGTGCATTAATTAAGGTAAACAACAAGCACACAGACACAGACTTTTCCACAGGGACACTGGGCGCAGATCGGGGGAGACTCAGACTGAGAATGAGATGCAGAGGCAGTTGCAGTTGCATAGGCACAGGTGAAAGCTGAGCTGAGCTCCTTTGGCCTGATGATTTTGGTTAAGTTCCTCAGCTCGTTATGGCCTGGGCCTGGTGGGCCTGCTTCGATCTTGGCTCCTTGGTCCTGCTGCTTGAGCGGCTTTTAAGCGGGTTTAAACACCTTTCGAGCAGACGCGTACAGACGTGTAGCACAGTCGCTGCGCTGTGCTGTGTGGCACGCATCGTACAGCAAACAGTAAAAAAAAATTGAAAAAATATATATATGTATATATATATATATGTAAGATTTATAATATAGAATTGTTTATTATGCTTATAGTTCAAATACAGTTAGAGATTACATGATTTAGAAAATAGTTCAACTTGATTAATTGTTCTTATAACTCCCGTACAACTTTCCGCTGCTGCTTCCAAAAACCGACTCTGACTATCGACTTCTTCCTATCGCCTTGCGCTATCGCCTTCTACCTTATATCGGTACATCTTACCGATAGTATCTTAAGATTAATGTCATGTCTTATCCGCTTGATACCCTTACTCTTTACATATATATGTATGTGAAAGGTTGTATTTAAATGTATGTTTATTAAAGAGATATATAAGTAATGTATACAGCTTTGTTAGATATGTTTTTATAAGCGAAAGACAACTGATTTAAGTACGACTGATTTTATTTGCGACTGACGAAAACGACGACTGCCCACGGAATGGCGAGAGGCCTCTGAGCGGCGTCGGCTGACGTTCTCGCGATCTCCTCTTTACTCTCTCTGCTCTCAGCTCTCTCTCGGAGGTCTGCACTTGTGTGCGCGACCCAGCCTTCTTACATGTACATATATGTGCGAGAGCCAGCGGGCGAGAATGCAAACTTGGAACACACTCGAACAAACAACAAACAAATAACAACAACAACAGCAACAACGGGGAATCACGCGCGGCAACGCGGCACGCACCTGCAGCACGACTCTACCCACGGCCACCCCCCCTGCATGCCACTTCAATGGCTCTCGACTCCCCACTGCCCACAACGCCCTCCCTCACCACTTCATTCGCTCGCTCAGGTGGAGTTAACTGTGGCAGGGGCAGCAGGCGTGTGACAAGCAGGCAAAGATCGGGCTGGGGTGGGACTTTCCCCAAAAAAGCTCGGAAGAAAGGAAGAAAGGAAGAACAGAGTGACACCCACTAGCATGTCAATACTCGGGCTGGAATGTAGGATCGGCCAGAGTAACTCCCTTGGGTGGAACCCACTTCGGGAATCTTCCTGAGCTGGTTGGGTTATACGTTATTTCCTCTAGCACAAAAAAATTCTCGGTCGCCATATATCTAGTGACTCTTGATTTAAACGTCGCTTGCACCTCTCCAATAATTTGAGATGTTGCATTGCCAATTCCACTGAGTTGCATGGATGAATCGCGCGTTTCTAGGCCCGGAATTCAGACTAACCTAGCCGTCAAAAAATTTAATTGACTACCGGAATCTAAGACGCATCTCCAATTGCGATATCCTCCGCCTATATCTTTGATTTGAACCACCGCGGTCGCAAGGAAATTTGTGGACGATCTAGAAAACAAGGAGCTATGTAGTGAGCTCGGTTTCTGCACCGCCTGTCCTTTAGGCTTTGACTCCGTAGGTGCCTCTAGTAGGAAATAATTAAAAATTAGTGGATTGTAAGAACAGGTATATCTTACTGGCTATAATTTTAAGGGATAATTCAGGGGAAAGGGTGTGATAAAGATTATTATAATTAGAGCATAAAATTCGAAAAGGGTCGTGTTGAGCGTAATTAGACCTACAGAATGGTAAACGAAACGGACGAAAGGTACGGGTAGGTCTAAGGGGAACAGAAAAGTCAAGCAGACCAAGAAGTGCTTCTGAGTCAACAAGCCCAACTAGGAGCTTGTGTACAATATAACGCCGTTACAAATTCTGCGATGGCGCAAAGAAGGGAGGTCTAAAAGATGTAGCCTCGATTGATAAGGTGGCAAGATTCTATCCGAGTCTCAGTTAAACCTTGTGGCACTCCTGATTTAACATTAACGACATTCGACAACACATTAGTAAAAAAAACACGTTGTGTGCGGTTAGAAAGATATGACGAAATCCAGTTTAGAAGATTAGTGGGGAAACCAATTAAAGAAAGCTTGTGAATGAGAAGAGAATGGTTCACGGAGTCGAAAGCCTTGCAAAAATCCGTGAAAATTACGTCTGTTTGCAGGGAGCTTTGAAATCCTCGGTTAATTGCAGAAGAGAACTCGAGAAGGTTTGTCCATGTTGATCGATGTTTAAAAAATCCGTGATGCGATGGAGATATCAGACTCCTGCATAGGTGTTGCAATTGCCTGGTAATGAGGAACTCAAGCAGCTTTGGAATGGCGGAAAGCTTAGCAATACCTCGGTAGTTCTAAATGTGAGATCTTGAACCCTTTTTGTGAAGCGGAATGATATAGGATTCGTTCCAAATCACTGGAAGACAGGACCGTTCCAATGATAGGTTGAAAAGATAAGGACTGGGCACAGTGTTTTAAAATACAACTTGGTACCTTGTCTGGACCCGCCGAGAATGATATGTCAATCGTTGACAAACCGTCTAGAACATCACTTTTCTCAAAGAAAGGCAGAAAAATGCTGGTCCCCGAATATTAGGACGCTAGCAATTCATTATATTACTAAAACAAACAATTTTAATTCTGACTTCTTATAGCTAAACATTTTTAAACTTATACTACAAACAGAGCCAAAAGCGATTGTGTGTGCGCTTGCAATTAATTGATTATTTATTCCCCTGCCGCAAGCACAAACATAAACATAAAACGACTTCAAGCCAAATTTCGGTGCATGTTCGTCGCTGACGGCACCACTGTGCAAGCACATACAGACATATATAGGCTGACATACTCATGCACAGCCCATTTGCTTCACTCACCCCCCTGTAGTACTGGGCACTAGTTCGGTGGTGGTGATATGACCCGTCCCTAACAGACCACCACTACCCACTGGACACACCCTAAGCAATGCTATTCTTCATTTCCATTTTTACCCACAATGTCCTAGGGCATGGGGACCAGCGACACCACATCGTTTACCCCCGAACTAGTGAAATGGGTACTCTTCTGGTGGTTGACGATTTGGGGTACCCATACAATGGGGTAGTGAAATGGGTACCCATCTGGTAGGTAGTGAAATGGGTACCCATATAAGGGGTAGTAAAAGGAAACAAGGAACATAATTAGAAAAGCTCGTGCAGTTGACAATTTCACTTATTTTATTTGTCTAATTTCCTTATGAGTTATTATTATCTATTATTTTGTTGTTGTTATTGTTGCTTATATTTTTAAAATGTCGTTTTTTTGCAGCTGAAGAGCTTTTCTTAGTTGTATTTCCGCTGATCCAGTCTCTGCCTCTACAGTTATAGCATCTATAAATATAAAAATCAAATAAATATTAATGGGCAGGAAATTAGAAAGACAAACAGATATGCATACCAAGCAAAACTCCATAAAAATTCTTAAGATCTTTCAGCGCCGACTTGCCTTGCACTCTATCCACGTTATAGGCTAACACAACGGCATTAGCAAGAATATTTTTAAAATTTTTTAAAATACCGCTTGGCAGGAGAATCGTTTTTATTGCATCAATCTGTGAAAATACAATAAGAATAAACAATAACATTTTGATTTACATCATACTTACGTATAAATCTCTGTTTGAGCTGTTTATATCTTTGTCCATCTGTACCAGTCCCTGGACAGATAGTACCTCAACTTTTTCTGTTTCACTGGACGACACTGTCTCTGCCCTCACTAGTTTTAGTTTGTTAGCATATTTATCGCTAGTTTCCTTCCTAAGTCTACGTAAATGCCGCCTGCTGTACATATTTAATTAAAGTTGCTTTGTCTTACCTTTTTTTAAATAATTGATTTGATAAATGTTCACTTTTTTCACTGGAACTCACAAGCGCGTCTCAACAAATTCAGCCGAAAGAAATAGAACATTCCACCAATGCAATGTCAAAAACCGAAAACGAAGCAGCGCTCTGCTCCGCAGAAGCAGCGCAGCTTCATTTTTGGCTACTTTCTTACTTCTTTTGTTTCGTTTTTTTTCGTTTCTTTCATCTACTGGTGAGACGTTGCAGCCCCATCGAACTAGTTCGCTGGGTGGTACGCGGTGGGTTGTAAAGTATACAGAGTAAGATTATTTTCTACTCTTTGAGTGGTTCCGCGTTCGCTTACCATAGGGTTACTTCGGTGGGTACCCATGTACGGACCAGCGTAGTAGGTAGTTCGGCAGGGTCAATCGCCACCGCCAGTACTACAGGGCCCTGTGCTCGACGTTAAGTAGTGGAGGTTCGGGAACTGTCACTTTTTTGGCTTTGGTCCTACCGAATCTGGCACAAACACACGGTTTTTTTATACCCGTACTCAAAAAAGAGTTAAGGGGTATATTAGATTTGTGGTAAAAGTGGATGTGTGCAACGCAGAGAAGGAAAAGTTTCCGACCCCATAAAGTATATATATTCTTGATCAGCATCAATAGCCGAGTATATATAGCCATGTCCGTCTGTCCGTCCGTCTGTCCGTCCGTCCGTCTTATTGAGCGCCTGGATCTCAGAGACTATAAGAGCTAGAGAAACCAAATTTGGTTTTCAGATTCATGTGATATCACACTGCTACAAGTGTATTTCAAAATTTCGCCCCGCCCCCTTCCGGCACCACAAGGGACGAAAATCTGTGGCAGGCACAGTTTTAAAGATACGATAAAACTAAAACCGCAGTATCGTAGAGAATGCCCATAATTATAGCCAGAATGAAGAATTTAATTCTCAGTTGCTTCCCCTCCCCCTCCCGCCTTCGACAACGCAACTCATTTTCCTTCTCGCTCGCACACTCTGCTGCGTTCAGTGCGCGAGCAACCCCTAGCGGAGGAGATGTAGAATCTAAATGATACATGTACAATCTACATGTTAGATGTAGAATAGACATTGTAGATGAGATGTAGATAACAAATGTAGCAAAAACGAGAAGGAACGTGTGAGTCGCTTCTGGGGACGCGACTCTACTTATACCCGTACTCAGTCAGTATATACATTTTTGAGCATGATTTTTTAGAATTTTAGAATTAAAAAAAAAATTTTACATTTTACATTTTTTTGCTACATATGATATCTGCATTTACAAATACAATGTATATTCTACATCTAACATGTAGATTGTACATGTTCCAATTAGATTCTACATCTCCTCGCTAGGGTTGCTCGCGCACTGAACGCGGCAGAATGTGCGAGCGAGAAGGAAAATGAGATACGTTGTCGTCGGCGGGAGGGGGAGGGGAAGCAACTGAAAATTAATTTCTTCATTCTGGCTATAATTATGATCCGATCTAGTTCATATTTGGAAATCTGGAAGATATGGGCATTCTCTACGATACTGCGTTTTTAGTTTTATCGTATTTTAAAATTGTGCCTGCCACAGATTTTTCGTTCTTTGTGGAGGCGGAAGGGGGCGGGCGAAATCTGAATACATTGTAGCAGTGTGATATCACATGAGTTGAAAACCAAATTTGGTTTCGCTAGCACAGTCTCTGAGATCCAGGCGCTCATCGAGACGGACAGACGGACAGACGGACGGACGGACGGAGGAGGACAGACAGACATGGCTATAACGACTCGGCTATTGATGCTGATCAAGAATATATATACTTTATGGGGTCGGAAAATTTTCCTTCTCTGCGTTACACACATCCACTTTTACCACAAATCTAATATACCCCTTAACTCTTTTTTGAGTACGGGTATAAAAATCATAAGCTCAAAAATGTACATATATACTGAGTACGGGTATAAGTAGAGTCGCGTCCCCAGAAGCGACTCACACGTTCCTTATCGTTCATTTTACGTTTTGAACTCTAGAACGGATCCACAGCCTAGAAAATTCCTAAGCTCAAGCTTAGCTCAGCTGTTCTAAGTCCAGAGCTTGCATGCACCCACCCCAAACTTGTAAGATACCTATTTCAGGCTGGGATATGCTTCAGCCTAATAGGGAACTAATAGCCCGGGGCTGGCCTCGCTATGTCCGAAAGAGCAGTAGGCAAGGTGGGAAGAATGATGACGCGGTAGCTTTTGTGGTTTTTGTTTATTAGTAATGCTTTTATTCGTTTTACTTGTTTACAAGGCGGTTTCGGACTGGGCTGGTCTCGTGTGTGTGTGAGCTGTTATATAGGGGAAGAGCTTTGTTTGCACGCAGAAATATCGTTTAATCGCAATGGAGTGAAAGTGTGTAAAATGCCAAATGAAAATAAAGAAGATAATTATGATGAATCGTGCATAATGAGAATCGACGTAGCGGTAGACAATTCTCAGCTGAACATAAGCAACGCGGTAAACGAGTTTACACAAAGCAAAGTACGCGAAATTATATCGACGTATAAACCGGAAAAATCAAAAACAACGAATATTGAAATGAAAATAATTCTAAAAGACGAAACGCCAATATTTTCGCGGCCACGACGATTTGCGATAAATGAAACACGCATCATAGAAGACCAGATCGACGAGTGGCTGCAGAAAAAGGTAATTGAAGAGTCAGAGTCAGAGTTCACGAGTCCGGTTGTATTGGTGAAGAAGAGCGACGGCACGCCACGTCTATGCATTGACTTTAGACGTATCAATAAAGTCATCGTAAAAGATCATTTCCCGTTGCCGTTAATAGATGACCAGCTAGATCGTTTGCAAGACGCTGTAATATTCAGTACAATTGACTTGAAGAATGGGTTCTTCCATGTTCCTGTAGCCGAAGAGAGTAGGAAGTACACCTCATTTGTGACGCAAAGCGGCCAGTACCAGTTCCGCAAGGTGCCGTTTGGTATGTCGAATTCGCCCGGAGTATTCCAAAGGCACATTGGTGCAATTTTTCGACAGCTGACTAGAAAAGGAATAGCACTTCCATATGTTGACGACGTAATCATTCCAGCCAAAGACGAGCAAGAAGCATTGACAAATCTGAAAGAAGTTCTCAAAACGTGTGAAGAGTATGGGCTTGAGCTGAATTTTAAAAAGTGTCATTTCTTGCAAACACGAATCCAGTTTCTTGGCCATATCATCGAAAATAAAAAGCTTTATCCGACCCCGTTGAAGATTGAAGCCGTTTCTAAGTTCAAGACGCCGCAGACACTGAAACAGCTTCAGAGTTTTTTGGGTCTTACAGGCTATTTTAGAAAGTTTATCTACAATTACGCGGTTATAGCGAGACCGTTGACTGACCTTACAAAAAACAATGCAAAGTTTGTAATTGGCCCAGACGAAGAGAACGCTATTGGCGTATTGAAGAAATATTTGACATCAAACCCAGTACTAGCCATGTACAATCAGAAGTACGAGACAGAACTCCATACGGATGCATCCATAGACGGTTTTGGAGCCGTGTTGATGCAAAAATCACCAGACGACGACCAATTGCATCCAGTATACTACATGAGCAAGAAAACGACGGATGCGCAGCGCAAATACACTAGCTATGAGTTGGAAATACTTGCGGTCATTGAGGCATTGACGAAATTTCGGGTGTATCTTTTGGGCATACCATTCAAGATTATAACGGACTGCAACGCGTTCACCAAAACACTAGAAAAACAGAATCTTTGTACAAGGGTGGCCAGGTGGATAATGCTTTTGCAGGAGTACAACTATAAAGTTGAGCATCGTGCAGGATCCCGTATGCGTCACGTGGACGCACTCTCACGATATCCCGTTATGCACATAAGTGACGGAAGCATTTTAGCTGGCATAGAACAGGCGCAAAAACAAGACGAACATTTGAAGACGATCATGAAGCTCATCAGCGATGACAATCAACAATACGACGACTACTTTATAAAGTCCGGAATTCTTTACAAATTAGTCAAAGATGCTGAATTGATGGTGGTTCCAAGGGATATGCAGAAAACTATCATCGGCAAGGCTCACGATAGAGGCCACTTTGCTATCAAGAAGACGAAGGAGTTAATCTGCAAGGAGTACTACATACCAAATTTAGACGACAAAATCAAGAAGTACATCGACTGCTGTATACCTTGCATATTAATCAACCGCAAGCAAGGTAAACAAGAAGGTCTTTTGCACCCCCTGCAAAAAGATGACGTGCCGCTGCAGACGTACCACATTGACTTTTTGGGTCCACTAGAGTCAACCAGCAAGAGCTATAAACATATACTAGCTGTTATCGACGCTTTCACGAAGTTTTGCTGGTTATACCCTACAAAGTCAACTACATCTAACGAGGTCATATTAAAGCTACGCAGCCAAAGCGTGACGTTTGGCAACCCTGCTTGTATCATTTCAGATAGAGGCTCAGCATTTACCGCCCAAGACTTCCTGCAGTACTGCGAAGACGAAAACATCAAACTGGTGAAGACGACTACAGGACTTCCACGGGTAAACGGACAGGTGGAAAGGCTCAACGCAGTGATCATCTCCGTGCTTGCCAAGCTCAGTATAGACGACCCTTCGAAATGGTTTAAGCACGTAGATCGAGTCCAGCGAGCAATAAACTCAACATACACCAGAAGCATCGATACCACACCTTTCGAACTTTTGATGGGTGTCAAGATGCGTACCAAAGATGACCAGCAGCTTCAGAGTTTGATCCAGAAAGAGTCCATCATTGCATTTGAAGACGACCGCAATGAGCTACGGGCAAAAGCAAAGACTCAAATTCTGAATCTGCAAGACGAGAACAAGAAGACATATAACCTGCGACGTAAAGCAGCCAGGCAGTATGACATTGGCGACCTAGTTGCCATAAATAGGACTCAGTTTGGTAGCGGACTCAAACGAAAACCGAAGTTTTTGGGTCCGTACCAGATCATTAAGGTGAAACATAACAATGCTTACGACGTCAAAAAAGTTGGCAATTCCGATGGGCCTAAGCACTCTTCTTCGTGTGCGGAGTATCTGAAGCCATGGTCCACGAGCAACGACGAAGAAAGCGACGATGCATTCGAGGCGAGTGCATAGTCAGGACGGCCGGATGTGGGTTGTGTTTTGCAAATCCCTAGACAAAACGAGCGTGAGCGAATTCGCTCCCAAGCGAATTCCCAAAGCACAACAGCAAGCACGACCGATGGCGAATTAAGACATCTGCACAAAGCAGATCGAGAAGAGAGAGGCCGAGGGAGTTTCGATCCAGCTGCCGACGTGAGAGGGTTGTGGAAAGAGACCAGACGACGAACGACGCTTAAATTCTATTTCTTGTACCAAATACTATACTTTATCATTTATTAAACTTAATATTAAACCAAAACCCCCACATCCATATAG